GGACTACATTTCTAAGTGATATAGAATTGAAATGAATGTCGTGTTATCCATCAAGAACACTGAGAAAATTGATTTTCAAATTTTGGTTTAATATTTTACACGGAGACAGGCCTGAGTGGAATTAGTTCGTTGTGAAAGTTTTAAATCTTCTCGTTGTTCCTATTCTAAGATACGCCTATGATAAAAGACATGCTTTTACATTACTCATGTTCAGTGACATAATCAATGAATATAATTTTAGAATAAGAGTAAATCAGAAGACTTGAAATTTTCATAATTTGATTTTTCTTCAAAACTTTTCTATTTCAAAATAAAAACTTCATATAATAATAAGAACTTTACAATTATGATATGTTTCATCTAATAAATAAAATTATAGTTTGCGAACGATTCGATTCGAAATCTCTGTATCATGGAGTCATTTATTGATTTATGACGTCTTCCATTTCATTGTTTGACTATTACTTAGCTAATAAGATTATTGTTATATATAAAAAAAAAAGAAGAAAAAATGCAATGAGTTTTTTAAATTAAAGCTAATGTTTGAATAATTATTCTTTTAATTTTATTGTGAAGTGTCGAATTAAAGTCTTGTTGAATTTTCTTAGAATTCTTTTAGTCAAATTTCCTATCTATAGAAAATAGAGGTAGCTCGAAGAACGATACAGGTTAAGCATACGTTTAATCTACTCAGATCAATGAGCACAGAGTTCATACACATCTATGAACGATCGTATATGATCCATATTTTACCATATTATATGGTTCAGTATTGAAATCATTTATATTCGTGATCGTATACAAAATAATACGATTATATACAAAAAGAAACGAAGCAAAACGGAGGTCGTATATGGAGAGAGTAAACGAGCTTTCTTTTTCTTCCTCTGTAAATCACTATATACCTCTCTACACAATCATTTATCACCATATTTGTTTAACCTCGATATTGTCCGCACGAAAAGTCTATTGTTCAAAATGCTCAACCTAATCAATTGAGAATAGTATTTTTCATCAAGTAACCAAATTAGTCAAGAAAAAAAAAATGAATACATGAAGGACGAAAGATGTATTTCTTTTTAACATATAAATTTACAATTGATAACTGTTTCATAATCTATTTTTTAGCTTCCAAATGGTCTTAATTTCAATAAACGTTTAATAATGATAAATGAAGATTTTGCTTTAACTCAAAAATTAAATCTTCTCTTTTCTAATGCTGATGAAACAATGTATCCAAAATCTGTTGCTTAGTAAATTTATTGTTCTTTATTGTTTTCATTTCAAGTATTTTTATTTCTTCTTTCTAGTGATCTTGGTTCTTATCAACAACCATCCCGTGAATCACTTTCAACATCACAAGATGTTACAGTAGCTGGCGTTGGTAAGAAATAAAAAAGACTTTTTCTTTTAGCATTATAATACAATCTCTAGCACGAACTATGTCTGATTATACTGACATCATTGTCAATGGAAATGTCTTCTCCATCAATAATAAAGAACAAAAATATGGATACATATCAATGTACAATTTTGATTTGTCTAAATTGTTTGATAGTAAGAGAGAATCTAATTAAGAAAAAAGTTAATCTATTTCTGATCTGGGCATGGTTGATATTAACATATTCATGAGATAAACAAATCAACAAACAACTATATTCATTATAATTTATTCTACCCTTCTAGTTGCTGATGCAAATAATCCAATAACAACATCAAAAACAGATAATGAAAACAAAACAGACGAATATGACATTGAAACATTAGAATTAATTAAAGAATCTGCACGAACATTTGAACAACATCGTCGTGTATATGGTGATATATTTGTTCGAGATACTGATTCTGATGACGAAAATAAAAATAATGATGAAACAAAAGAATATTCAAGATCATCATTATCATCAAATAGTGATAGTGATGCACCAACATCAACTGATTCTGAAGCTCCCTATGGATCAGATTCAGAATCAAGTTCATCCTATGATGAATATCATGCTAAAAGAAAAATTCCAAAGAAAAAAATTCATGGACATCATAAAGGTCCATTAAAATTATTTTTTCAAGAAAGAATTGTTTATTGGCCTAAAGGTCGTTATAAAAAATACAAAAATTATCATATGAAAAAACATGGAATAGAAATTAATTATGGACAAATTCATACACACGAAATTAAACATTCATTAAAACGAGAAAAACGTGAAAGAAAAAAAGAAAGAATTCCTTCAATTAATCTTACAAATATGGTGGGAGATATTGCAAAACAAATAGCATTTGTTTCATTAGATCCTGAACTTTCTATGGCACCAGTTGAATTAGATAAAACATCATTAACATTAATGAAATCAGCAGACAATAAACAAATTGATACGAAACCAACATCTACTTTTAATAGAATGACAAAAAAAGTTAAAAAATCTTTTAAAAGAAAACCTAAAACATCTACTAATTCAAATACGGATGATGATGCACAGGTGGCAACAAATAATGATGCAACTAGTCGTACTAGCGGTGGTGATGAACTTTCCAAATCGAGTCAATAATTAAATAAAGTTTAAACCCGCAACACACATTAGATAGATTAGATGCAATGAATTTGCTTTCTTTTTTTTACCCTATTTTATCCTGGTAATTCGAATAACTTTTTATTGATTATAAATTTATGTATAAATATATAAATATACATACCATATAATAATAAAGCAAATTATTTTTTTTCTTTCACGAAAATAAGTATTCATTTTAAAGAGAACAAAAATTTTAAAATGAAATTTCTTTCGTTCTAGTTCCTGATGAAGAATCAATATTAATAGGCGCTGTTGATATAGATGAAAGTCGAAATGAATATAATGTCGGTGAATTGATTTCATTTGGATCTTTCGATATTCCAACTGATACTAGTTTACATGATCAAAAAACAAATGTAAGTAATTTCAAATAAAAGAAAGAAAAAAAAAGAACTCATTATTTATATTTTAGTCATTATTCAATGATGATATATTTGATCCATTTAATCTTTATGGTTCATCAACATCAACGAATTCTGGAGCAGGTAAAGAAGGGAATCGATTTCATCAATTATCGACTCCTTTGACAGAAATATAATTTCTGTCATGTTAAACTCAATGATTTTTGATATAATTAGACCTATAACACTTGTCTGTGCTGTCCTGATCGATTGAAAAAGTCAATGACTGTCATACGTGCACTATATACGTGACTGTTGAGGATGATCAACTGTTTTTATCTATCAATTCGAATACCAACCAGACTAGTATTGATATCGCTCGATAGCACTTTTGAATATTTTTAAAATGGTATAAAAAATATCACGGAAAAACTATTGTTCGATATGACGCGATATGGAGCACATTGCTTTAATAGGCTACTAGTATCAGTATTCCATACTGAAAACATTTGTCAAAGCCAAGTAATTGTATCGTTAACCAGGTTAATTTTTATGTTTTAAGTGTTTCAAAATGGTATGAACATGTCGAGGAAAAAACCTTGGTCATACAGAGAAATTCCAAGAAGATTATTGTCAACACATGACTTTATAATTTCTTTGCCTAATATTTAGAAGATTTCGATCAGAAAAATACGCTACATCCGAAACTGAGTGAATTATTTCAAAAATTTTCGTAATCATTTTTTGTCATCGAAAAATTTACCCTGGTCCTTCTCGAGGATTGCTGAAAAAATGAATTTCATCGAAAAGTTATTTTGACAGCAAGAATCAAGTTGCAAAGTTATACAATGATAGTAGAACTTCAAATAGCAGATGAATAAACAATAAAAAGACAGAGTTTTCATGAAATTTAGTTTTTGACCTAATCCTGAGAGGAGCCACGAGGAAATTATTCGACGAAAAAAAAGATTGCAAAAGCTTTTGAAATACACGTCAAGTCAAACTCAGCTTTAGATGCATTATATTTTTCTAATCGAAATCTACTAAATATGAAGCAAAGAAATCATAAAATCATACGTCGAGAATAGGCTCCTTGGGATTTTTTTTGTGTAGCCAGTGTTCTTGTTATTTTTATATGATTTTAAAGCGCTCATAAAGTACCACATGTGCATGTGCCAATCATTGATTATTTCAATCGATCTGTGCACAGTACAAATAAGTGTTATATGACTAACTCTACCAGGACTTACTTTCGAACACTTTGTGTCATAGTTTGACATTATAGAACAAAAATAATATTTCTTGAGAGGACTGTCTTTAACAGTTGTCAACTCCTGTTCTTGTTATTTTATTTTATTTTTGTTGTTTTTGAATTGGAGACAATAATCTTTTTTTGTTTTCTAAGATCATTATCCATCAACGGCAAGTTCTTCTTTTCATATTGATCCGTTCAATACGATATCACAACTTTCTCGAGAAACAAATTCATCTGTAAACATGTTTTCTTCATCTTTAATAAACACTAATAATAATCTCTTTAATCAATCTCAACCACAACTTATGCCTACACGAGTATTAACACCAACACCTTTTGCTGCTGCTACTACTACTGCTACTTCTCAACCATCAATATCACTCAAAAATCTAAGTTTAAGTCAAAATAAAAAGAAAAGTGACATAGTTACTGATTTACTTGATTTGAATGAGACAAGTCCATCATTAGACAATCTAAAATTTGATCCATATGCTTAATTAACATTTCATTTTTTTTTCTCTTCGAAATTAATATTCATTATTTGTTGTCATGTTTTTCCTGTGATATGTGTTAGCACATCCCTCTATGTATCACTTTAATGTATCATTTTATTAATCAGATTTTTATGCATTGACAATTTTCTTTGCTTCTTTTTTTTTGTAAATTCTCATAGTACAAAGCCCTTTTTTCTGTATGAACAATTATTTATTTTTGTTAGTCTGTATGTGCACTAGTCATCATATTTATTCTAGTCATTCCACACCTCTTTTTTTTATTGTCTAAAATATTCATTAAGATTTATTTTTTGTTCTATCTGTAGATCAAAAAAAAAATAATATGAAATTCGACACTTTTCTTGCAACAGTTGGCGATTGGGGTAGATTTCAAAAAGTAAAATATACTATTATTTGTTTGACATATATGTTACCACCAATAATGGTATATACTTATACATTTACAGCAGCTCAACCAAATTTTCGATGTCAAAATCCTGAGTTAATGTCACTTGATAGTTATAATGAATCATTCAATAAATTCTTTGATTCGAAATATAAACCAACAGAAAATCAATGTCTTAATCAAAAAAAAAGTATATCACTTAAAGAATGTGAACGTTGTTATATGCAACCATCAGTCGAATTTCATGCAAGGAGTAGTCAATCTAATAGACAATTAGAACCATGTAATAAATTTGTTTTTGAAAAAGTTGATTATGAAAAAACATTAGTTGAAGAAGTAAAAAATCATTTTAAAAAAATTTGAAAATTATAAAATATTTTCTTTTTATATAATACTTTTAGTGGAGTCTGGTTTGTGGTCATGTGCCTTATCGTTCAGCCGTACAAATGTTTTTTTTTGGAGGTTATATGGTTGGTTCTATATTCTTTGGAGTATTAGCTGATAAGTAAGATTGCATATATATATATATATATATTAAAATTTTCTATTAATCTTTCTATTGAATAGATATGGTCGTCGTCCAATAATGAGTGTTAGTTTTATTCTAATGAGTCTTTCAGGATTTTTATCTGCATTTGGTCCACAAGCTGCATTAGGATTTTGGCCATCGTATATCATTTTTATATTAGCTCGTTTTTTACTTGCATGTTCAACACGAGGAATATCTGTATCTGGTTTTGTACTTGGTTCAGAAATAGGTAAAAAAAAAATATTATTATTATTTGATTTGATTTATTTAAATGTTTCTTTCTAGTTGGACCAAGTAAACGTTTATTAACTGGAATTGTAATTGAATATTTTTTTGCATTTGGTCAATTACTTCTTGTTTGTTTTGCATATTTTATTCGAACATGGAGATCATTAACATGGGCTATTTCATTATTTACTGTACCGTTTATATTCTTTTATTTGTAAGTAAACAATATTTAATAAAAACTGTAAAAAAAATAAAAAATGATAAATTATTTTAGTATATTACCTGAAAGTCCTCGATGGCTTGTTAGTAAAGGACGTTTTGATGATGCTGAAAAAGTTTTACGTTATATTGCATTAAAAAATAAACGAGATTTTGATCAAAGTGCTTTTGAACAAATGAAAGAAGAACAAGAAAAAGTTTATTTTCTTATGTTTTCAATTGTTTTTTTCTATAAATTTTCGTATTTTTTTTATTAGAATATGTCTCATGAACAACATCAGGAAGGTATTAAAATATTATTTAAATCAAGAATTATGTTCTTTATTAGTATTAATCTTTTTTTTCAATGGTAATTATTTCTTTGAAAATTTCTATGATGATTTGTTTGTTTTTCTTTCAAGGCTTGTGCAAAATCTTGTATTTTATGGTGTTTCACAAAGCACAGGTAAAAATTTCTATAGAATATTAATGTTAAATTTCATTTTTAATTTAAATAGGAACATGGAACTTAAATCCATATTTATCATTTACTATAAGTGCTTTAGTTGAATTATTAGCTTATGCAGTCGTTCAGTTAATACTCGATCGTATTGGTCGTAAATTACCTTATATTTCATTTGCAATTCTATTTTCTTTTGTTGCATTTCTTATTTTACCTATACAAAAATATATGACAAAAGATAGCAATGGTAGTTATATTAATAAATATAAAATCTTAAAAGAAATTTTTATTTTGTAATATTTATTTTTAGCTCAAGTTACATTATTGAATATAATCAATAGTACATTAAAATTTCTTGCATCAGGATCTTATGCTATCATTTATATTTATGCTAATGAACTATTTCCAACTAATGTTAGAAATACAGGCATGGGAATTTGTTCTATGGTTGCACGTATTGGTGCTATTATTGGTACATTTTGTAATGATTCTTTAGTAAGTTTTTTTTATAAATACATTAGATTTTATTGATTTATGTGACTTTGTTTTATCGGTGCATTTAGACACGTATTTGGATTCATTTACCTGTATTTTTATATGGTATTGTTTCTCTTGTGGCTGCAATATTAGCATTGACGTTTCCGGAAACCTTAAATAGACCATTACCACAAACTGTTGCTGACGTTGAACAGATGGGTTTAAGATGGTATATGAAAATGATTAAGTTTTTATAGAAATATATATTTATACATTTAGTTTTCCAAGTCACAGTGTTGAAAGTACAATCACTGTAGATCAAGCATTACCAGGAAATAGTGAAGAAGATATATCGAAGAGGGATTTACAACGACATGATATTGCAGATAGTAAATTATAGTTAACTATATTTCCAATCTCATTTCCATGATTCTTTTTTTTTTGTTGTGATGCATTCGTATCATGAAGATAATTTACTCAGGAAAGATTTACACAAAACAAAAACTAATGTGATACAAATCTCAATAAATTCTAGTTTAATTGTATTTCCAATTTCATTTCCTTGATATTTATTGTTGTATGCTTGTTTTTACTGTTAGAATATATTCTATTGATAGTGATGAATTGCATTTGTTTTGTTGTGTTTTTTTCTTCTTTTTTTTGTAAGCGACTAAAACTCATTAGTAGTATTCTTATGTTTTTTTTCATTTGTTTTAAAAGAAAGTAAAAATAGACATAATACTATTGATTTATGTATGGTTTTTCAACACGCTATACCCTGCATATTATTGTCACAATATGTGACCATAATATATTTGGCTATTATTCAAACAGAATAAGGATAGTTGAGAGTATTTATTCTGTCTTTTTAGGGTTTAATAATAATGGTATTTATTTATTGAAAGCTATTTAAGCATTAAGTTTTATTTCTAAGCTGACACTTGATCATTGTAAATAGACATACTATCACGATTATTCTATTTTTTTATGCTTATCTGATTATCAATAAGAAAAGTCTAATGCAATTGAATGTGAAGTAAAAAATACCCAACAAAAATTTCTTTTGCATATATATGTGGAATACATTTATATTTTATGTGTCAACTGTTATATTATTTTTTTTTCTTTTTTCAATAAAAATAGTACTAAAGACGGATTGCATCGTGTTGAGATCCAATTTTTTTTTTGTAATGTACTCTGTTCTTTAGCTGTCGAACGGTGAAAATATAAAGGTAAAATAAAATATCGTATCGTGTTTTTCTTTCACAATTCGAACATCGAGAGTGAGGAAGCCACAAACCAATAGAGAAAAAAAAACCAAAAGAGAAAATTATTTAATTATCGTCGAGACTTATTTTTCTTCACCTTAATAACTATTTTTATGAATTGTTAAATTCTCAAGTGAGATTTTTGAAAAACCACAAAATTTGTTTGTGGTTATCGTTGAGTTGATTTGTCTCTTGCGGTTCTGTTTGTCATTGCGGTAAGAAACCCTATGATCCATCTTTCTTTTCTTTTAATACGATGTATTTACACTTGTTTTTGTTTTCAAAACAAAAAAAAAAACGTTGCTCTCGTTTCTCAACTCGACAGTATTAAAAGTGAGATTGTGTACATGAGAGTGCTTTCGAAAGCAATTGCTAACTCTTTTTAATACATATATATAGAACCAAGAAAAAAAAGCAAAGACTTATACATTAAAAATCATTCGTCATGCTAATTTTCACTTTCAAATATTACTAAAGGTTATAAACACATACCAAGTTTACATTTAGTATGTGCATGTATGTCTTATCTGCATTTAGAGAAAAGCAAAAGATGAGGTTCCTAGATGCATTTCCTATTCAAGCAAAAAAAACCTCTTATTTATTTTTGCGTCCATTCATATATGTTTCTTTTTTGTCCAGAAGTGTGCTTGCTTCAGTTCGTCAAAAAAGAAAAAAGTGAAGGAGAAAATGCCAACAGTGACGAGCACTCTTGGTAGTGGTATTTGTTGTTGTTCTTCTTCGACTATGAGATGCAGCATAAAGTACACCCAGCACACTTAAGAAAAAGAAGGAACAGAAGACGAGATTTGTTTTCTTGTTCTCTCCCTCTCTCTCTCTCTCTCTCTTCTTTTTTTTCTATGAAAAAAATAAAATAAAATAAAACAGACAAACAGAAAGACTGACTACTTTTGTAGCTGACGGCAAACATCTGAGAACAAAAGTGAGATCGAATTTCATTATTGACAAAGATTTTTTTCTTCTTTGTGGTAAGTATTGCATTAGCTTAGTTCACCTTTTTTTTTTTACGTGAAAAAAAAATATTTGCAAACTTAATATGAGTCGTTCATACAGTGTACCTAATTTTCATAGGTGACCTTGTAAAATCAGGTTCATACAGTGTACCTAATTTTTATAGGTGACCTTGTAAAATCTATTCGTATTGTTTTCTAGTCATTATCAATTGTATTATTTGAATATTCTATTTACAAAATGAAACAATAGATAATTAGATTGTTGAAACAAGAAGATTATTAAAATTATCAAAATGGCTATACGTCAACAATATGCCAATGAAGAACTTGTTCATAAACTTCGATCAATGCTTAATGATTTACCAACATTACGTACACGTGCGATTAAAAAACTAGAACATTGGCGTGAAGCAGCTATAAAACGTCTTCTAGCTCGACAACGTCAATTAGAAAAAACTTTATTAGATAAATTTGAACGACTTGAATTTGATACACAATTATTTGTTGAAAAAACTGAACGTAAAAAAGTTCAACAACAACGACGTTGGCAAAGTGAACCATTAGATTATCTTAATAAAAGTGAAATTGATCGTATATCAACAAATTTACGTTCAATACGAGAAGAATTAGAACAATCAAAAATAATTTTAGTTGGTAATATTAATAATGAAAATATTGATGAAATTATATCTAATGATCATATACGAGATAAATTACAAGAAACATCACGTTATGGAGATAATTCATCATCAAAAACAGCTATAGATCAAAATTATGATACATCATCAACAACGAATGATCTTGGTTTAGAATTAAAACGTGTATTAGATATTTGTACAAGTCCACAATTTTCATCATCACCATTATCGACCGAAGAAGTAAATAAATTGATATTACTATTTCAATCATAGAAAAACTTATAAGCATAGCAATAAAAAACTCGAATCATTTTGAGTTTTTTTCTCTAAAAAAAAAAGTAACAGAGTGCTTATGTAATCGAACAATGACGATTTCTTATCTTGCATGAGTGCATTCTGATATCTGAGCTTGTATGTTTATGATGCCTTACACTCAATCTCATTATATAATTTGATCAACTTATCTCCTTGATTTAATTTCTAACAATGTAAATTATTTCAATAATTAGTTTTTCTATGAATAAATTTAAATCGTTTGTCAAACTTATTTGTTAAAAATTAATTTTGTACTCTCACTATAAAACAAAACTGTTTATCATATATAAACTATAATTTTATTCTATCAAAAACTTGAAAAAGAAAAGAGATGTTAAATATTAAATGATTTTCATAGTTCGATTATGAGTTTTAAAAAAAAGAATAAATTTTTATTTTTAGCAATCACGTTTACAATCTCTTGATCATACTGAATATGCTTATGATGCAAAATCTAAACAAACCACAACTAAAACAAGTACAACATATCAAGAAAAATTAGCTAATCAAACAAACCGTCGACATGCACGTTTAATAACAAATATTACTAATGAACAAGAACAACAGCAAGAACAACAGCAACAACAACAACAACAACAAAAACAACAAGAAAATATTCCTAATGAAATACGATTAAAAAAAAATCAAAAATCACTTGCATTTGAACCATTTGATGATTCTATAAGACGTTCTCAAAGATTAAGAGAAATAAGAAAAAATTTACGAACAAAATATGATAATAATACTCCACAAGAATCAAAAGAAAATGAAAATCATCATTCAAATAATAATGTTCTAAATAAAAAGAAAAATAATCTTTCATCACAATTAACAAATCCAGATATAATTCAATTATATGATCAAGCAGCAAATAGTGTTAAAATACGTGATCGAAAATGTCGTTCAAGAACACTTGAATCAAATCAAATACGTGCTGTTGATAATCAAATATATGGATGTTCATCATCATCATTATCATCAAAAACAAAACAACAAACACATCATCGATCCGAATCACATAAAAATCGTTCACATCGTTTATCATTTCGTCGTTCAAGTGAAGATGTTCATGATAAAAAATTACAATTACGAAGACATTTAAATTCTACAAATCATAATTCAAATGAAACATGGTTTGAAGTAGAAAGAGAACATTGGACAAATTTATTAGAAAATGGTTGGAGACCAACTATTAATACACCTGGTGTGAATCTTGTTTCGTTTGCTGATTCAGGTAACAAAAATGTAATAATTTTCATTTTAAAATGAATTCTTTTTTTTTCTTTTTTGAATTAATTAGATAATTATGGATCTGGTAAACGTAAACATGATGATAAAGATAATCAAATTGTTGATCTTTATGAAGAAGTATCACGAAATGAATATATTTTATTATTTGAAAATCTTGATTTTGCTTATGCACGTACAATCGATTTAGGCAATGAATTTTGGCGTTTTCTTGAAATAAATGGAAATCATCATTTATGTCTTTATCATCAACTTAATAAACAATTTATTATGTATAAACCTGATAGTTCACTTTTATCTTTTCCATGGCCATATGATGGCATTGTTGATATATCATGGTCAAAAGCAACAAATACATGGGCAGTTGCTACACAAACACAAATTGTAAATTTATTTATTATAGAAATAAATTGAGAAATTTATTTATTTATTTATTTATTAGATTATTTGTAATCGTTCATTTAACAAAATTTTACAATCAGTTGATATTAATGGTGATTGGCCAAAACGAATTACATCATGTCGATCATTTGTCTTTCATACATACAAAATTCCTGCATGTTCCATTACACGTTCATCGAGTTCCTCCTATAATCATTCATCGTATAATGATCGACCTCAATTTTTACTTGAACGTTATGATTATACATTAACTTCAATGTGTAAACATATTCTTGAATCATCAACAATATGGGATATTGAAGCTGATGATCTTACTGAACATTTAGCTGTTTTATGTGATGTTGCTTTACTTATATTTGATTATCAATTAAATTTATTAAGACAAATTGAAGTAACTGGATTTAAAGTAAGTACAGATTATTTTGGTGGTTGGTTAATTGCTGATTATAATGCATCATGTATATGGCAAATAAGACGAAATGAATATTTAAAACCTAATAAAATTTTAAATGTTGAAAGACCATGGTCTATTATACTTGATCGAACTATGTGGACATTAGTTACATTAAGTGAAACACAAAATCGTGCTAAACGTTTATTATTTTTTACTATGAAAAATATTCCTACATCACTTGCATCAAATGATTTATCATTAACACAATCTCAACTTTCGAGTTCATCATCTTCACTAACTGATACATTGATATAAGAAAACAAATTTTCAAAATCTAAAGTTTTATTTACATAAATACATATATATATATATATCTATATATATATCTATTTATCTGTAATGATGAAATTCTGTTTTTATTTTCGTTTTTTTTTTAAACTTTTTCTTTTTTTTCTGTGCTGCTGTTGTTATTGCTAACTTATCTTGTATTAAGAATAAGTTTTCTTATAGCTTATATGTATTGTTTTTTCGAATTAAGGTAAATAGGATGCGAAGTGAAACATATTGAGATTAAAAGACATATTTGGAAGAAAGTAAATTATGCATCGGTTTTTCGTTTTTTTTTAAATCGTGATTATATAGAACATAGAATAAACAGTTTTATTTATCTCTTTTATTTTTTGATTTATTCTCTATGAGTTAGAAACTATTTTATCTTCATTAAATAATTGTTTTTGTTCAATGTACACACTTGATGCCAAAGTTTCATGATCCTATATAAAGTGTCTTACATTTTGAAGTATATCTACAATCCAAAAATTGCTAATTTCAAGACAAAGAATGCAAGATCATCATCATGAGAGAATGATCCCAGTTTATCAATCACTTTCTCAACAAAAACTACTAGATTGTAGGTTATCAACCATACTTATCAGGAATGTGAGCATGAGAAATTTCGTTAGATCTTTAAATACTAGTTTTCTAGAAAACCAATGTCTCAGACTACCAAGTACTTTGCAAAAATTGTTTTGGATTTGCTCATATTATAGAACATATTCAATTGTCTGTAATACAATAGTCTTGTCTGTTTTCCAAAAATAAGCTGTAGGTAAAATAGTATCATCTTGAGAATTTTCAAGTTGAAATATTGTTATATATTAACTGTATTTTTAACAAAAAAATATACGACTTCAAAAAGAAGATGATAATACTTTTTTATGTGATTCTATTTGTTCTATAATTTGGACAAATCAAAAAAAGTTTGGAGCTAAAAGTTTTCTTAATCTAGAAAGCTAGTATATGCAGATCTAAGAAGACTTCTGATGCTCATATTCTGAATCAGCATAATTGATAACTAATACTTCATTAGTTCTCCTTTAAAAAAAACAATCGATCAGTTAAAACAGTTCGTTTGTCAGTAATAAAATGAGAAACTAATCGACTTCATCATCAAGACAAATTGAACATAAATATCTCTAACACAAATATATCTGTTCGATTCCTACAATTGCCTTAAATTAACAATACTTTGATCAAGAATATTATTAATTTCGTTCTAATTGTAAGAGAGACCTTTTCCTTGAAGATAGAACTTCGTCACCTACAGAATGAAATATGCTATGCTAAATGACTAATGTTAATAGCCAGTATTCGTTTTGCAAACAATCAAATTAATTGACAACTTCATTCTCATATATCGACAAGAAACTATCGATGAATATATGTATGTCCCATCATTTTAAATAATCAACTAAAAAATTGATATTTGAGATTATAACCACACCAATGAAAATTTTTATTTCTGATATTTTAATGGATGTGTCAAAAGTTTTGAGACAAAGTGTTCCTTCATTTATCGACCGATTACGATGGTCAGCGAACCCTATAAAATATTGGTCTTAAAATCAGAATTTTGTGTTCTTGTCGAATCAGGGTTTCGAATTTTTATTAGACACCTATTTTTGGAGTTATGAGCAAATCTTTGAAAAGCATTAAAAAAAACATTTGAACGATGGCAGCTGCATATAACAAATCCATAGACAGAGAATGTGATTGCATTCCATTTGGAATTGTTTCGATGATGTTTTTCTGATGTAGAGATGCTGATTCTGTTTAAGTTTCATTTTCTTTCGTTTTACCACATCACATTTTGAAAAGTTTCAGGGTCAGTATCTTAAGAATAGATGCTTCTCTCAACATATGAATTTCGCTGTTGCATAGCATGACGAGTGATATCGTGCTCTACAAAATGCGTTAAGAACCGAACTTCTCGAAGAAATCTTCCAGGAACAAGCAAGTACATTTTATGAAATTAAAAATCAAGATCACTCTTGCCTCTTGTGGAAACTTTCATTGTTGGCAGATGCATTACGGAAAGCTAATCATTGGGATAGAGAAATGTTTGCTCTTTCTTTTGATGTATTTGAAATAAATTTTTACTTCAATCCCCTACGCTTTTTCTTGCACTCTGAAATTCATCCGAATTTTGTTTTTAAGCCATCCATGTATTCGCTTATAGTTTCAAAAATATGACTTTAATAAAAAATTCCTAACCTAAATTTGGAAAGAGCACAAAACTTTGATTTTAATACAATATTTTACAATTTCTATTAGCCATCTTAATCAATCGAAAAATGAAGGAACATTTTGTATCAAAACTGTCGATCCATCCATTATATTACAAATACAACATTATATTGTTCATAAACTCTATTCAATACATATCTTCAATGTTTTTAATTAATAAGAATAAATACAAAATCATCAAAAACCAATACATTAACATTATCATATATATACATATATATGTATATATATACGTATATTGAAGAATAATAACAAGTGATCGAATGAAAAACGAAAAAGAACATGAAACAGAAACATATCAAAAATGAGAATATACAAGAAAAAAATATATTAAATCTATGGTAATACTGGATCTACTTGCATAATTATTTCTACTATATCTTCGTTTGAATCATTCGTTTTATTAGTATTTTCTCGATCAGATTTATTCATATTATCTTCTTTTAATTCAGATTTTAATCGTTTTTTTGGATATAATTTTGCATGGAAATCTTTAATACATGATGATAAATGTTCATATTGTTTTTTCATACGTACATATTGATTATTTAATTCTTTAAAACGCATATCAAATTGTTGTTCACGTGAGATTAATTTAGCATTAAGTAAAGCATTTTCAGTTTGACTTTTACCTATGAATAAAATTTTCAATTAGGAATCAATATTCATTTCTTTTTTGTTTGTAAAATAAAATACCTAAATCAATCTGTGCTTGTTCTAGATGATCTTTTATTATTTGCATTTCAAGTGAATTATTTATTGAATGTTTTACTTCAGAATGACTATCAATTGGTTCTTCTTTTATTTTATTTTTTTCTGTTGCTTTTATAGAAGACGATACTGATGATGATGATGATGATAATTGTTTTAATCGAGCTTCATATGATTCAACCATAGCTGTATATTCTAATTTAAGTTTATTTGTAAGAGCTTGTTCTACTTCTTTAGAAAGGAAAGAAAAATAGAAATAATTATTCGGGAAATAGAAAAGAACAAAGTGAGAATTACCAAATTTTTCTCGTAAAACTTGAAATGTATCGTAAGCAGTTTTAGAATATGTTTGTGCTTCAACTAATGATTTTTGAAGATTAGTTATTTCATGTTTAAGTGCATGATTTTCTTGTATAATTCGATCATAATTTACTGGCTTCGGTTCATTATTTTTATTAGATATAGATGGATTTTGTTGAGTTAATGACATTAAACTTGGTAGTGTTTGTATTGAACCAGAATTACTTGTATCAGGATGATAACTTCGCATTGCAACATGTATACCATTGATAGTATGATTACGATGACTAAGAATAGAAGTAACACTTGATGCTTCAGCAAATTTGATTAGAGCATCTAAAATGAGAATAATCACTTTGTGATTAGAAAATTTTAATCTCAAAAGTTATAAAGAAATTTATCAAAGTATCAAATTATTCTTAGCTCAATCGATGGATTCTAAATAGTTATGAAATAATCTAGAATGGTTTCATTTTCATAACGAAGTATGCTTTAGCTCGGTTGAAATCAATAGCAGCAATCTAACAATAAATGATCATTATAGTTCATATGCATTTTTTTTTTCTTCTATGTGTAAAGAAGTAGACACAACTAGAGAAATGAAATAGCTTAATCAACATTATTATCAACCGTTGCAATAAGACTAAGGTTTCAATGAGTCATAACTAGCCGGTGTACTAGTACTAACAAAAATTTTCTCTCATAAACATTGACATAAGATAATAAATTGATATGCATTTCTCTATAAATCATCGAAATGAGTATACATTATTACAGATACAACCGAAATTTCAATCGATTGAATCTGAGTATAGAATCATATCCTTTTAGAGTGAAGTATTTCTAGTTTATATTATATTTCTAAAAATAGTAGGTTAATTGATGCATCGTTTATATAGCATGGTATATTTTCTGTGATGATTGTTAATTGTTATATTGACCTAATAAATATTTTTGAAAATGAAATTATCTGTTTTTTTTCTTTTGATAATCAATATAACATAAACTGTGGATAAAATGTTTCAATTTGAGAGTAAAAAAGCATCCATTAGTATATTGTCCAATTAACAAAGATGTGTTTTTTTATTCAACAAAGCTACAACTTTAATAATAGACTTAATGATCAGCTTTTGTGGGAAAAAGGATATTATGACGTTGACATTATTATTATTATTATTATTATTAATATATGTGAGATAATAAAAGACTTACAAGGATCTTTATTTCGAGTTTGATTAGAAGTTTTGATAAAACATCGAAGAACATTACCAAAACTTTTACAATAATTAGTTAATACTGATTCAGATAAATTATTGAATTTAGTAATAACCACTGTTGATTCACGATCAAAAAACATATCTAGAAATAACAAAAGAGAAAGCCATATCTCTACTTGAAATAAACATATATTCATATGTGCCATGTAGAAATAAACAAAATAGATATATGTAAACGAAAAGTAAACTATGATGTGATAGTGAAATGTGTCAGTTGATTGAATTATTTTTCATTCTTTGATTCATAGCACGTGGTTATAGAGAAAGCTTTATGACATGTGTACATAGAAATGCAAAATCTAAACAACGAAATGTATCTAAATCAAAACGAAAACTTTTAATATTAATATCAATATTCTTTTTCGATTTTGTTATTAAAATACAAAAATTTGATGATCTATTATTGTAATTTACCATTACTATATACGATTGAATTGCAACTTTTTGATACGACTGATGAGAAAAGTGAAAGTCGATCTAAACAACTTTTGAGTAATGCATTTTATTACACTCTGTACCTATGTTACACAACAAAAATTTTCCAACACTTTACCACATATTAGCTGTGAGATACAGCTTACTTCCATGTAAATGTATCGTAAAAAACGTTATTTTATTGAAAAATATCTTTTTACATTTCATCATATAATGCAAACATCTCGAGAACGATAAGAGATAGAGAGTTGAATTTTTTACTGGTTATATATCTCTGAGAAGTATATCTAAAGTAAAAGTTTATGCGAAAACAAACGAACTTTTCACGAATTATTCGCGACGTAATTTTCAAAAGTTCGATCTACACTTTTTTTTAAAAAAATCGATCTACACTTTGTCGTATAACATAAATATCTCGAGAACGGTCGAAGTTAGACAGCTGAAATTTTGAATACTTATATAATTCTGAGACGTATATTTGTGTTAAAAATTTGAACAGGAACCGATGAACCGTTCGAAGATTATTAACAAACAAAATTCTAAAAAGTCGATCTACAAAGTGAGTCAAAATCCATACTCTTAAGCAATAATCTGTGTTTTTCACTATAAAGGAAAGTCATTCAGAAAATATTGTTTTTTTACAATTTTGTTTATATTTCCATGACCTTCCTATTGCGCATCTCCGCTTTCTTTTAGTTTTCGCACAGACCGAAAAAATGTAAAGAGAAGCTCGATCTACATGTAAATGGCAACGTGTCTGTAATGATGTATGTAAACTGGACGGATATTGAAAGGAAGAGAAAAAAATATAAGCCATATACCATTTGATAGAGCTTTTAAAGAGCTACAAAACGGACTATTTATTATATTTTTTTTCTGTTCTTTTATGCTCACAGAATCTCCTTCTCTGACTACATCTTCATGAAAAATACGATTTTTTCATAGTGTAAAAATCATTACTACCCGACTATATGAATTAGAGAGCTGAAATTTTGTATGGCACCCTGGAGCATAAAGATTAATAACATATAAAAAAATTATTTAAATTGGCCAATCAGAAAACAAAATTATTCAAAACATACAGCTAAAATTCAATCGCACCGAAAAGTTGCAATTCACTCATATATCGAAAGTTAATGAAAAAAAAAATGAAAGAATGTAAAATCTACTTTATAATCACTCATTTTGCTTCGGGTTCTGTATGTGCTGCAAGACCAAATACTTCAATACATACAATTGCGATAAGATCTACTGACTATATTGTGAGGAACTGAAGGAATAGCTCTATCGCCACTCTTAATAACGATGCTTATTGAGCTACTTCATCACTCCAGAGTACATGTGCAGTTTACACACACTCCTACTGTGTAATATATAAAGACAGAACAGAAAAAAAAATTTCTTAGATAAATTGCACACCACTATGAAACAACGATCGTTCAATAGTGATGTGCAATTTATCCAATAAATTTTTTTTTCTGTTCTGTCTCTATATATTACACAATAGGGATTTGCGTAAACTGCACTGGTACCCATTCCAGTTGCATCTATATCAGTACAAACACTTCCTTATATACTAGTCACACAAGGGAAGAGAAATAAAAACATACATCGTCAAGGTCAACACTATAAGAAGTCATACTGAGACAAGTAGAGAAGAGAAACGAAGTGTAACGGTCAATAACCGTTAATTACATGTTATATCGTACTGTTGTTGGTTGTTGATAGGGTTGTCCCGATGTTAGGATTTATCACATTACGGATGAGCCTTATGTGGGGATTGGTGAGCAAAAACGAAGAAAATTGTTCAGTGTCGCTAGAGAAAAACGAAAATTTTCCGAGATAGGGGTCACCCTATTCTCGCTTGGAACATTCCTGGTTGCTAAAAAGAAGTTGAAAATAGATGTATTGATGGAATACAGTTACGAACGAGTTTGACCGAACACGACGAAAACGATGCGAATGCAGAAGACATTTTATTTGAATTGATACGATCAACAACTTTTCCCCGTTTTTTTCGCATTATCAATCATGAATTAAAACTCACAAGTCGGGTATCCCTACTCAATACGGATTAGGTACGGGTGTGAAAAGTAACCATTTGTGGAGATACAAACCTCATTTTAAACAGTACAATTAGTAAAAAATTTAAAAATATGTGTTGTGTTAAGACTGCTATTTAATCACGATATCCTAGATCACATAGTTGATTGGTCGTTTTGTTAAACTATTACCGATGTATCACACTGATGTAACCTACGGGTCGGATATCCGTGCATTACTCTAGCATCATCCTCCAGATAAATAGAACGAAGATATTCCTAATACAGATATGTCTATTCAATTTATCAAAATCGCCTTAAAATAACAATGCTTTGATCAAGGATATTATTCATTTCGTCCTAATTCTAAGAAAGATCTTTTCTATGAAGATAGAGTTTTGTCACTTACAGAATAATATATGCTATTAGCATTGCCAAAGGACTAATATTTATCACCAGTATTCATTTCACAAACAGTGAAATTAGTTAACAACTCCATTTTCATCTATTGACAAGAAACTGTCGATAAGTACATCTATATTTCATTAGCTTTAAAAAAATCAATGAAACAATGGATGTTTGAGCTCATAACTAATAAGAACTTTCATTTTGATATTTTATTCTATAAGCAACACTATCATTTTCATGAACTTTATTTAATAAAAACCTTCAATTATTTTATATTATTAAGAAAAATACAACTTCATAAAAAATCGATACATAAACATAATGTTAGTTAGTTATACCCATACCAAATAAACATAATGATATATATGTATATATACACATATAGAACTACAAGAGTAAACGATCGAATGAAAAAAGAAAATGAACATTGAACAGAAACATGTAAAAAAAATCAGAACAGTACAAGAAAAAAATTTTAAATCTATGATAATATTGGATCTACTTGCATAATTATTTCCATTATATCGTCATTTGAATTATTAGCTTTATTAGTATTTTCTTGATCAGATTTATTCATATTATCTTCTTTTAATTCAGATTTTAATTCTATACTTGGATATAATTTTTCATAAAAATCTTTAATACATGATGACAAATGTTCATATTGTTTTTTCATAAGTATATATTGATTATTTAATTCTTTAAAACGCATATCAAATTGTTGTTCACGTGAGATTAACTTAGCATTAAGTAAAGCATTTTCCGTATGATATTTACCTAAGAAAAAAATTTTCAATTAAAAACAAAGATTTATTTCTTTTTTTGTTTGTGAAAAAAAAGTACCTAAATCAATCTGTGCTTGTTCTAGATGATCTTTTATTATTTGCATTTCAAGTGAATTATTTTCTAAATGCATTACTTGAGAATTACCATCAATTGGTTCTTCTTTTACTTTATCTTTTTCTGTTGTTTTTATAAAAGATGATACTGATGATGATGATAATAATTGTTTTAATCGAGCTTCATATGATTCAATCATAGCTGCATATTCTAATTTGAGTTTATTTTTAAGATTTTGCTCTGCTTCTTTAAAAAAGAAAGAAAGAAAGATCGAAATAATTAATTAGAAAATAGAAAAGAAAAAAACTTGTCAATTACCAAATCTTTCTCGTAGAGCTTGAAATGTATCATAAGCAGTTTTAGAATATGTTTGTGTTTCAAACAGTAACTGTTGAAGATTAACTATTTCATGTTTAAGTGCATGATTTTCTTGTATGATTTGATCATAATTCATTGATGTTGTTTCATTATTATTATTATCATTATTATTATTAGTTTTAGTTTGATTTTGTTGGATTGATGATATTAAACTTGGTGATGTCTGTATTGGACCAGAATTATTTGTATCTTGACGATAATTTCGCATTACAACATGTACACCATTGATAGTATGATTACGATGACTAAGAATAGAAGTAACACTTGATGCTTCAGCAAATTTGATTAGAGCATCTAAAATGAGAATAATCACTTTGTGATTAGAAAATTTTAATCTCAAAAGTTATAAAGAAATTTATCAAAGTATCAAATTATTCTTAGCTCAATCGATGGATTCTAAATAGTTATGAAATAATCTAGAATGGTTTCATTTCCATAACGAAGTACGCTTTAGCTCGGTTGAAATCAATAGCAGCAATCTAACAATAAATGATCATTATAGTTCATATGCATTTTTTTTTCTTCTATGTGTAAAGAAGTAGACACAACTAGAGAAATGAAATAGCTTAATCAACATTATTATCAACCGTTGCAATAAGACTAAGCTTTCAATGAGTCATAACTAGCCGGTGTACTAGTACTAACAAAAATTTTCTCTCATAAACATTGACATGAGATAATAAATTGATATACATTTCTCTATAAATCATCGAAAAGAGTATACATTATTACAGATACAACCGAAATTTCAATCGATTGAATCTGACTATAGAATCATATCCTTTTAGAGTGAAGTATTTCTAGTTTATATTATCTTTCGAAAAATAGTAGGTTAATTGATACATCGTTTATCTAGCGTGGTATATTTTCTGCAATGATTATTAGTTGTCATATTGACCTAATAAATATTTTCAAAATGAAATCATCTATTTCTTTTGATAAATAACATAAAATAGACTGTGGATAAAATGCTTCAATTTGATGGTAAAAAAGTATCCGTTAGTACATTGCCCAATTAACTAACATTTCTTTTATTATTCAAAAAAGCTAAAATTTTACAACAGATCGTAGTGATCGATTTTTGCGGGGAAAAAAAGGATATTATAACGTTGATATTATCATTATTGGTATATGTGAGATAATAAAGAACTTACAAGGATCTTTATTTCGAGCCTGAGTAGAAGTTTTGATGAAACATCGAAGAACAATACCAAAATTTGTACAATAATTAGTTAATACTGATTCAGATAAATTATTGAATTTAGTAATAACCACTGTTGATTCACGATCAAAAAACATATCTAGAAATCACAAAAGAGAAAGTCATATCTCTATTTGAAATACATATGTAATGGGTGGTGCGAAAATATCTGGACAAAATGTTTGTTCATTTTTGACCCGCTCTAAAGTATTGAAGACGAGTGAAAAACTATGGGTTATAACTAAAATTTTGTGCTCTTTGCAACAATGGACTCAGAAGCTTTGTACATGTTTTTGCTGAAGAGTACTAACGGAATCTTTGAAAGACCCTAAAAAAATAGTTTGGACAGAAAAAAATTTATTGCATTTCCGCATTGGGTCCGTATCACTTTGCCGAAAATAACTTTGCCGACGCATCACTTTGCCGACACCACTTTGTCGACAACTTGTTTTGCCGACACGTACTTTTTGCCGACATGTACACTTTGTCGACAACTTGTTTTACAGACAAAATTTGTTGATATTAATAAAAACTGATTCATTTTTTATACAAAAATTCTTTATTTTCTTGAGCTTTTTAAATTCTTTTAATCAAAATTACAAATACCCACCCACCCCACACCCATACCCTAACTTCTTGTACCGATGTCACTGTTTTTACTTGAAGCCATGAATGAATAGTAACTTATGGTGAGATCTATATCTCTTTATGTATATATATCACGTTCATGCCCACATATACGTCCAATCTCGGACTAGCCTAGGCAATCTAAGATTCGCCTGAAAATAGTACGTCCAATGTGACATTGGCCTAGATCAATTCGAGATTGGACGCATTCAAGTATGAACGCTGACATATATATCACTGTATCTACAATAAATTTAAATTTATTTTTGACTTCAATTTTTTATCGGCGAAATAAATTGTCGGCAAAACAATTTGTCGGTAAAGTGGTGTCGGCCAAGTAATGCGTCGGCAAAGCTATTTTCGGTAAAGTGATTGCGACCCTCCGCATTTTCGCTATTGGGATTCGAAGGTAAACGTTTAAACTTTTGTACATATATCGTCATGTAGAGCAAGATCTGCCCTACAAAATGTACTATTTGGGTTTGTTTTTATCTTCGAGTAAAACATCTAAGTTATTGTTTTCCTATCATCGTCATTTCTGAAAAAACGACTTTTTGACGATAGGGTGTTTTTACATAGAAAAAGCTCCTAAGAAGATATTTATAGTTTCACTTGAAACAAAGCTACAATTTAGTTCGATATTACATTTTGAGAAGAAATATCCACTCTAGAAAATTCCCAAGTTCAATAGTTGTTATCAACTTCGCAAAGATACTAATGAAGGTTATCAAAAACTTGTTTGTTTGCTAACAAAACGAATTTTTCAGGACTCTCAAAGATTGTCTCACTGCTCTCAAAGCAAGATAGATACAACATGTCTGAGTCCATGTTCCGAAAGAGCATAAAATTCTGCTTCTAAACCATAGCTTTGTCTCGCCTGAAATACTTTCAAGAAGGCCAAAAATAAACAAAACGTGGTTCAGAAATTTCGGTTCACCTGTTCCGTCCAAACTATTTTTTTGGGACCTTTCAAAGATTCCCTTACTACTCTTCAGCGAAAACAGGCATAAAACTTCTGAGTCCATTTTTGCAAAGAGCACAAAATTTTCGTTATAACCTATAGTTTTTCACTCGTCTTCAATACTTTCGAGTGGGTCAAAAATGAACAAACATTTTGTCCAGATATTTTCGCACCACCCGTTATTCGAATATGCCATGTAGAAATAAACAAAATAGATATATGTAAACGAAAAATACATCATGATGTCGTAGTATTATATGTCAGTTGATTGAATTCTCTTTTATTCATTAATTTATAAGGCATTGTCAGAGACAATGTTTTGTGATATCTCTACATAGAAACGGATAATCTAAGAAACGAAATGTATCTAAATCAAAACGAAAATTTTTAATATCAACATCAATTTTCTTTTTTGGTTTTGTTGGTGAAATACAAAAACTGATTGTTTATTATTTTTTGTTTGAAGAATTATTGTAATTTATCATTACTAAATATATCGAAGATTAATTTGATAAAAATGAAATAATGTAAAATTTACTTTATAATCACCCATTTTGATTCAGGTTCTGTATGTGCTGTAAGACCAAATGTTTCGATACATATAGTTTCGATAAGATCTACTAGCCATATGTTATATCGTATTGTTGTCGGTTGTTGAGAAGAATTTGAAAATAGATGTAATGATGGAATACAGTTTCGAATGAGTTTGAGTGAACACAAAGAACACGATGTGGATGAAAAAGGCATTTGATATGAATTAATACAATGAATAGTTTTTTTCCCGTTTTCTTTCGAGTCATCAATCACTCGCCTCGATAATGAATGCAAAAGAACAGTTCGATTATCAGCGGCATCTATCAGTTTCATAAGTTCTAATTACAATTAGAAAGTTTTCAAATTTCACAGTTGGCTGATTGATGCTTTTTTGTGATTGTATAGAATACAAATCAATCGAATTAGCTTGCACTTATACGAAAAACATTACCGACTGTGTCGATATTGATATCACTCTCTCACTGCTATCTTCACTTCCTCTTCTCTTTCTTTCTCTCCTTTTCATTCTCTCTACTGTTCTTTCCCTGTATCTATCTCTTTTCTGTATAAGCTTGTGCTTAATGTGCGATAGGTGTATCCTGAGGATATGAATTAGTTCAATAAACATAGCTAGGGAGGATGTCGATAAGCTACTCCTCCAATTTGTCGTTAGGTGGCAGCTATGACAATCAAATATGCTTCACTAGGTTCGAAGTGCGACTTTGCCAGAACGAACAACAATTCGACAACATAGATCAGCAATAGAAAATATGAAGTGAACAACTGTGAAGACTATTAGTGACAATTATGGTTATCAAATTATTTAAAATTAACAGAGACGGATTGTAATAAGCACTGATTGAGATAATGAATGGATGAAAAGAGAGAGACAAGTTGAAAGACAGAGCATTGCTGGATGGCTGTAGTATAAATTTGTTGCAATACTGATAAAAAAAACAATGTTACAGAACATCAGTGAATGTACTAAAGGATAGCTAGAATTGAATCGACTGTGCGAATGTTTCGATGCACCTTCTTTTCTGAACAATGGTACGCTACATGTCACTTCTTCTCAGGTTATTCCATTATTCTTCACCTTAGTCGTATTCGTTTCCGTTCAAAAAAAAAAAAGAAACAAGCTGGTGTTGACGACAATTAACGTGGTAGCATATCGGTCGTAAACAAATGAAATTTATTTATCATTAATTGTATGTTTATATTTTTGACACTACGATCAGTCAATTAATAATGGCCCGTTTCTTATCTGTTATCATCATCTATTTTCAATCAAACTCACTGCCTTTAAAGGATTAAGGATGTGTCATAGTCAAATATTCATGAATGAGCATAGGTAACGATAAAAACTAATCGATCATTTGTTAAGAATGATAATATACAGATGAAAGTGTCAAAAAAAAAACCATTGTTCTTTAATTATCGTAAGCGGACATCAATTTCCTCTTTTTATACTAACTGGAACAGCTGCGTTAATAAGGTGAAATATGAAATCTTTTGATTATATACGAAGAACTACTACAGGAGGATTGAAATTGATTTTTTTTATTGACGCTGTGATGTCAGAATTTTTCTTCATTTCTTTTAAATTTAACTGAAGTCTGCAATAAGCAATCGAAAAGTATGAAAATGAGCTGCTCGTCGTATGGTACGTACGTTGTGACTAGAGCGCTGCGGAGTCACAATTTTGACTTCAATTCCGAGAAACTCTGAAATTTTCTTCTGAATAGCATATATATTTCTTTTGATTCTACTTGTCAGTGAGAATGTTACTCTGATGTTTTTTTTTCTTGAAACTTGTATATAAATTTATAAAGTAGTATATTTTTCTTCATTACTTAATATATGGAGAATAAACTTATTGCGATGCAGAAGTGAAAATACTTCACTGTTCTACTGATGTAACTCCGGCATTGACTGCAAAAAAATTCTTCACAATCACTTCGATTTCGAAGAGTATTTTGTTTTTTTCATGACTTCGACTCTGACAGAGTCAAGTTTTGAAGCCCAATGTAGGGCTACGGTTGTGACAATAAATTCTTTTTTCTCTCATCTCGTCTTTTGAATTGTTTCGTGATATGAGGGCGTTCTCAGATTGTAAAGTACGAAAGGAAATCGTTCTAGATACCGTTTACGTACTAGACACGAATTCTCTGTATGTTGCGAGCTATTTCATTTTAATTGTTTGATGTAATCTACAGTGCGTAAGAATTTTTTTAAGTGATTGATTGATTTTTTTCTGCTTATAAGAGAGTTATACTTTTACTTTTTATGTCTTAATCCCATGATATTATTAAAAAATAGATAAGTACGAAAATGCATGATTGAGTATGTTGTCTATTTTAAAATTCATGAAACTAAATTGTTATGTGTCTTCTGTGCTAAGAAAAATATCGATGTATACGAGAAATGATTGATACATATCTTATTATTCAGTGTCGATCGTACCTTTTGTTTCATTGATCAATAAAATTCAAATGATGTACTTAATCGATGTGTTCTATTCTGTTTTCTTTTTCATCATTTGTCTTTGTTTCTTTTCCTTTATTGTCCAGATACTCAGAAGCGCATCTAAACGAAGTCGGTGGGTCTGCCGATATTGATATCATTCTCTCACTGCTATCCTCACTTGCTCTTTTCTTTCCTTTTCATTCTCTATGTTGTTCTTTCCTGTGTTCATCCCTCTCATATATAAGCTTGTGTTTAATGAGCGGTAGATACATTCGGAGGACATGAAGTAACTCACTAAACATCATTACCGAGGGTAGAGGTTAGCTATTTCTACAATTTGTTTTTGCACTGACGTTTTCAATATTTTTCAAAGATTTTTTTATTGAAAAAGGTACTCATGCCGCATGCTCGTTCGTACTGCCAACAGTATACTGGCAGTAAATGAGTGGGGTGTGAGTGTGGTAGGTGCAAGAAGACCTACACTCACACCCATACCTCTATAAAACTCTTATCACTCTTGAACAGAGCAGCCTAGGATCTTCGATCTTTCCTTAGATAGATAGATCTTGTTTTTCTCTTTCGAGTAAAACTGATTAACACAGAGATCTAATCGGAAAGTTTTCTAGAAAACCGTTCTCGAGATTGCTCGCAAAATCTCATCTGATTGGTGGAGTTTAACATTGTTTTGTAACCGCAAAGTTTATCTTTCCAACGGTGAAAATCATAGCTCTCTATCTTCTTCCTGTCAGGACTTATTTAGACAACTGTAAGATCTCTTTTATTTTTTAACGAATGACAGATAATCTTAAAATTTAGTTTGATTAACTTTTGCTGATAACATATTTCAAATTAATTATATTTCTAAAAACAAAATTATTTTATTTCATGTTTTAGCCTTGTCTAATTTGTATTCAAATCAACGAGTATCAGTAGCGGATGACCTTCCACATCTGTATTTTTGAGATAGATAACCAATCAATTAATGGATTTTTTCCTGTTACATTTATGTATTCAACGAATGAAAAATATTTTGCTTTATACACGTCTTTATTACTTTAAAGTGCTATAAAAAATTGTGGTTTTTTGAAACTTAAAACCACGTTTTTCGGTAGGATTCGTACTAGTTCTGACTACTGCATGGGATTTAGTATAATCTTTCGATAAAGTCATACCAGACCATATAAAACAAGACGAAAAAAAGTTCTAAAATGATAAATTGATATCGATAGTAATCATTCGAAACCTTCACTTGATATTAATAAACGTCGACTAGAATATGTTTGAATTTCTTTATTTGCATCTATTTTTCTTGTTTATCGTTCACATGAAAAAACAAAATGATTTTGTTTTATTATGTTCAATAATATAATCAGACAAATATTGTTGTCATACTTACCATGTATTAAACTCCACATGCTGTTGAACAAGATTTTTAAAATAATGACTTCAATGGTTTTGATCGACGAAAATACACATTTTCATTTGTTATACTATTTGTATTGATTATAATAATCTTTAAGACAATTATTTTCAATTAAATGATGCATTGTTTTCATATAATTAATCGATTTCTCACATCAAATTGGGATCATGAATAATTTTTTAGATTCTTGGGATGTAATTTGACGCAGTTATCGGTATTGAAACATAAGGTAATCTCAAAAATCGAGAAAAAATATGATATCTAATATTTCGCTTATATCTCCGTTTACTTTACATCCCATTCGAAAGAGCTTTCAAAACTAAACAAAAAAGCCTATTTCGATTTTTTCAGCACGTTAAGTCTTGATGTTCAAAAGTTAATTTTATTCCATTGTAAGTCAATTTTTACTATGATAATTGAGAAAAGTTTTAAAAAGGCTTGAAAGTTGCGAAACCAATAGAGAAAGGTCGTTTTTCGAAATGCAGCAAAACGACTAAAAAATATGTGATTTTCAATCAAAACAAACTTTGTATGATAGGAATGAAGTATCGAAATCGATTTTACACATAAAATTGACATAGAAATATGGGTTCCAAAACAATCTTCAAACATCAGACGCGTAGTGAGTAAGAAGTAAAATTATTTTTATTTACGTGTACTGAACGATTGTAAAGTAGACGATAAAATGGGAATCGAGTAGCTAACCACTCGTAAAGGCACGTTTTCATAGCATCTAGCATAAATTCTGAACGAGAAATGCATATTAATATTTACTATGAGCAATCCAAACAAACAGTTATATGATCTATTGGATTCTATGATATATCGTTTTGGTTACAAAGCACAAAATGCATTGAAATAATAATGATATCGAAGCATAGCACGAAAAACTCAACTGTATTTTTAATAAACGATACGTATTATCATTTATATTAAAAAATCATTATAGGTCTTCTAAGTCGTTTAATAAAGTTTTGTTTTGTTTTTTGTAAAATTTCTCTCTATAATAATATTCGATATCCAATGATATTTCCTTATTTGTGAGAAAAATAAAATCATATCATTATTTTTTGAAAGACGAGATAGTAAGAGAATCTCAATGAATATCTTGAATACATAAGAATGAATATATTTTGTCAAAAATGTTCAGAATATCATGCAATGTAGTGTCATAAGTAGATGTTATCTAACACCATCTGCAGGATATAGATGAAACGAAAGAATTGGCAAAAAAAAGAGAACAACTTGCAAATAAAAACCATTATTATATGTCTATTGTCATAGATATATATAAAATTAAAAATTAATTAACATATTTATTATTTGTTTGCTTGATAATTTAATCCAGTATACGAAAAAATCAACGCCAGCTGCCCTGAGGAAATCACATTATCTATTCGACAATCTATAACACCAATACCTATTCTTTCTTGTCTAACCTGGCAACCTGCATAATGTCGTCGTTCATTTTATATTCAATTGATTATTTGCAGTGATTCTTTTTTTTTATATATCTAATGAAAAATTTAATTTCAAATCCATCTGTACTTGAAACATTTTCTGATGAAGTATTTTTTGAAATCTTTGATCGTCTATCACCTATTGATTTATATCAAACATTTCATGGACTTAATAATCGTTTCAATACAATATTAAATGATTCTCGTATGTGTTTTCGTGATAATATATCATCTTTAAATTTAAAAGAATTTCATTCTTATATTGAAAATATTCTTCCAAAAATTATCGATCGTCTTGTTTCATTTACATTTGGAACATATGATACTGATGAGGTTCGATTTAATTGAATAAAATTAACAATCTTTAATGAATATTTCTTTTTTTTAATTTAATTTAATTTTAGTATCAACAAGTTAGTCTTTTTTTACATACGTATTCGATTGATTTAAGTCTTTTTAAACATCTTCGTACGTTAGTTATTATTAAAATAACAATATCTGACATATCTATTATTCAACTAGCACTTATTCATCTCAGTCATCTTGTTAATATACGCTTATCAGTTGATAGTAATGATGTCGAAAGATTATCAGTTGTTAATATTAGTAATAACTTTTTTATTGGTCCTCGATTAAAATATGTTAAAATGAATATGTGTTCTCGAACAACATTTAATAATGTAAATAAAATATCTAATATTAAACAATTATCAATTGTATGGTGTCAACTACAAGAATTGACACATTTACTTCAATATACACCAGATTTATATACTCTTAAAGCAACAATTTCTGGATTAAATGATATAAAAGAATGGACAGAAAAAATTTGTGGAAATTTTACTAAAAACTATTCACTTCGTTTAAATTCTCTTAAATTAGTTATTGATTCAATACCATTTGATCATCTTTTATTATTTCTTCATGAATTAACTCAATTACGATCTCTTTGGTTATTACTTAATCATTATGAATATATGAATGCTGAGAAATGGCAAAATATTTTTCAATCATCTTTATCTAAAGTAGATCAATTAGATTTAACAATTGCATTGATGAAACCATTTTTACCTGAACAATTATTGATTTTCTCGACACCATATGAAGCATGTGAAAAATTTAATACTAAATTTTGGTTGGATAAAGGTTGGTGTGCTAAATTAGATGAATATGATCATTGTATACGATTAATTGTATCAAATAATCTAATGCCTATTATAAAAAAAGCAAAACGAGAGTAATTGAAAACAAAATTCGAATTTTATTTTTTTTTATTTTTGTACGTCAGATTGGTTTTTCATATTATTTTATTTTCATAATGGATATCATTTTATTTTAATTTATGCAAATTTTTATTCAATAAAATATAGTTTAGCAAAAAATAGCAAAAATAAATATAACAATAATCTATAGTATATTAGAAAAAACGAGGAAAAAGATGGAATTACAAATATAATTTGAAATGCCGTTCTATGATGAGATATTCCGTATATAATTGTTTAGTGTATTTACTATAGCTATTGTATAAAATATATGTCTTTAGAATGGAAATAGGTACTGATAGATTAAATCTCTCAAATTATTTGTAGATATGCAATAGTAGTTTATTTGTTTCTCTTGAAGAGTAAAATATTCAAATAGGTCTAAATAAGTATGAGTGACTCTTTCTCGAAAACCTACTATTTTTTTCTAAACCCCATATTTTTATAATGTAAGTGGAAATATTCAGGAGAGATGATGATCATATATGATTTGAACGTTTCATTAAGAGCTAAAGCTTCATTTGACTTGTCAAGGTGATTCCGAAGGTTTTTCCAATATTTATAGGCGTAATTGTTGAGTATTAAACCTGATATATAGATATGTTATATATCTCTTTTATGTTTTTCTGTAAAAAAAGAACCATATAATAGATATTCATATAAAATGAGAGAAGACAAATGTAAGAATAATTAAGCGACAAGTTTTTATATCACTTCTTGAAATATTATAGTAGAATTTTCGAAGTGCACAATAAATATTTCTTATTTTTACTAATCGCATCCGTATATAAACACCTCAATCTAGTTTACTTTCTAATTTCAATTCCTAAACATTTAAACATGGATACAAATTCAAGTTTTTAATTCTCAAAGAATACATTTGGACATTCAGGAGCAACAACATTGTGAAATAGCATGTTTTTAGTTTTGTTCACATTTACTGGTAAGCTTTTTTTTCAATAGAACCTATTGTCGAAATTGTCAGATCATCAGTAAAGGAGTGAGTACTAACACGCAAGAATATTTTTGGTAAGAAGTGCAAATATAATGTAAATCTAGTTGCAGACAAAACTGAACTGTGGGGTGCTCTCACATTAATGCTTATGTTTCTTAATAAGGATTAACTAAAATAAAAATATCATGTTGAGAATTTCAATTTACTTCCAATGGAAATAGAACAAGTAGTAAGAATAATATAGGAAACATTAGATGTTGATTGAGACAGATCATTAGTAAGAACTAGATATAACAAAGATCAGTCTTTTCTGGTTCCGGCAAGACTAGCACTAATTGATCGATGTATAATCCAAATCATTTTAGATTTTCTTAGCCTAATATAAAGACCGACTCTTAGTCATCATGTCAAATCAGACGACATTTATTAGTTGAAGATAATTTCTCTATTAACTGCAAGATTTGAAAATCAAGAGATTGATGCAAAAACCTATCTTGAAAGTTCATTTATATTGTTGTTCAAGCGACGCTTTTTTAAATTAATGAAATTTTTTTTCTGCTTATATTTTTACAAAGTAAAGAAATAATTCTATATAAATGAATGTTTTACATGAAACAATATCAATGATCATGATGTCTTCAAAACAAAAATATTTATTAGCTTTTGCACTAAAATTTAAATGATGAATCATAAATTATTTTATACTATTATCAAAGTTTATCTCGTGTTTACATATATAAAAGAAAAAGAAAAGCTCAGTATACATTAGTAATATATTAAGAAATTATAAAATATTTTTCAAATGGTTTGTTTGCAAATCACTTAATCTAGTACGTAATAAAAAGAAGATACCAAGAATAACAAGAATCGAAATAGGAACAAATATTATCCATAATGACCAAATATAACCGAACAGTATTATTGTAACAATAATTTCAATAACAAAAATACATCCGAGTTTTGCATACCAAACACATTTTTTCATTGATGTTTGTTCATCTGTTTGTATTGATGATTTATTTGTTGTAACTGGTACATAAACAATATCCATTCCATTCGTTAGTTCGAAATCTTCAATTGAAAACATTTGCGAATCTTGTTCTATACTTTGTACTCCATTAATATCAAGTCCTGTAAATATATCAACACCTGGTGTAAGAACAGCATGTGTTGAACGAGATATTAAATGTATATGTTCATCATTATGAATCACAGTTTGTAGAAAAATAAATAAGAATAATGAAAATGAATAATAAACTGCAATAAGTTTCAATAATTGAGAATGATTTGCAAGAGTAATAGAAAATAAAAATCCATCACTCATCGCTAATAAAGTTATTGAAAATTTTGATAAAGCTTTCGTTGTTCTTAACAAAGAATTAAGTAAAACCTAATAAGGAAACAAAAAAAAATCAGATAAAATGTTGATTAAAAAACTAAAAGATTATTTCTTACTTGTGATAACATTTGCATGGCAAGTAAAATGTAACCAATATTTATTAACAAATCTTTTTGTTTTCTAAAGAAAAAAACTATAATTAAACCAATAATCCATATGGATACACTAATAATAATTAAATTTATTTTATTTTGTCGATGAAGATTCTTTGAAAATAGAATAATTTGTATGAAGACTGCTATTGTTGATATAAATGCCATTAATTCCAATATCGATGCCCATTTAAAAACATGACCTATTATTAAGAAAATTAAAGCCAATACTCGAATTATAATCCATATATAACTAATACCAGCTATATATCGTGTACGATAATTAAATAGATGAATAATTTGTGGTAAAAGAGAAAATGCTGAACAAAGATAAGCTAACATATAAACAAAGGCTCGTAAATAACATCTTGCTATTGAAAATCTTTCTACACAATATTTATTGTTTGGATTATTAAAAATACTTTTAACCAATGTTGATTCGAGAATATCTGTATTATTCAACATGATGATACTTTTAAGATATAATAAAACAAAGAGTTTGAAGAAGTATTTATAGATAACAGTCTATGTCAACATAACTGATAAAAGATTAATCGTAATTTATATTCGTTTTTTTTTATTAAAAAGATGTCTCTATTATATAACCAAGGGACTGTATTCCGCAATTCTCAGCAGTGTTCAGACTTTCGAAAAAGGAAATTTCAGAAGTTTCGGAGATTTCAAGCATTTGTGCTCTGAATTTTACGTTACTTCTTAAAATGGTGTAATTTCAGAAATTTCTGAAATTTTCTCAATTATGCACTTACAGAAATTTCTGAAATGACAGAAATTACTAAAATTTCTGAAATTTCCAATATGTCTAAAAACTTTTGATTTGCACTGCTATATAGTTATCGAGCCGATGGAAATTTCAGAAATTTGGGTAATTTACTTCTTTGGAAATCTGAACATACCTCGCAATTCTAGGAATAATCCTAGTATATCTATATTCCGTAATTCTAGGAAGAATCCTACACTGTAAAAAAAATTCGTAGAATAATAAACCCTATGAAAAGGGTTTATTAAATTCCTAAACCCTTCACCGTATATTGATAAATTTTTTTATCGTTTATTATCAATTTCCTAAACCCTTAAAAAGGGTTTATTATATATTTCACTTTCCTAAACCCCTAAGGATTTATGAGTGAAAAAAGGGTTTAGAAGATCTAATAAAGTCTTAGGGCTTTAGGAAAGTCAAGCATATAATAAACCCTTTTTAAGGGTTTAGGAAGCCTCATAAATTCTTAAAGGGTTTAGGAAATTGATAATAAACGATAAAAGGGTTTATCAATATACGGTGAAGGATTTAGGAATTTAATAAACCCTTTACATAGGGTTTATTATTCTACGAATTTTTTTACAGTGTAGTATATCTATAACTGCGCGATTCTAGGAATAATCCTAGCATGCAGTAACCCTTGATATGCTTTAAGAGAGCTTCCATGAGCTGATCGAGCATCGCCCCAATATACGAGGCAGTCGATAAAATTTTTTTTTCGATTTATTTTGCTCATTCAAAACTTCAATGTCTAAAACTACTAACCCTAAAATTTTAGGTTCTAATACTCTTCCTATGAAAAGTTAGCCAAGATCAGCTTTTGGCACTATCAGGTCTTTTTGCGAAAAAATAAGAAAAAATGTTCTATAAAAGATGTGCTAGCTTACGTTTCAGCAAATCATTGAAATTTTTTGTAGTATACATAGGAAGATAGAGAATTGAAAACTGAATAAAATGAGCTAGGTTGATATAACATAATAGCTAATAATTTAAGTTTTATAGAGCGAATATGAGTTCAGAGGTGGTCCTTTTGATCAGTGCAAATAAACAGTATAACTCGTGCTGTGTTTCAGTATTAAGAGACCCCACGCTGAATTTTATATATGTTGTGCAGCTTTTTATTCTCTACAAAATGGTAAAAAAATATTTGAAAAAAAAGTTTTTCATCGATGCGAAAAGGGTTTACACTATCTAACTTTTTATAGTTTTTGATGATTTTTCGATAAAAAACAAATATTTTTAGAGGTTTTGTTTTATCATAAAATAATGCTAAAGCAAAACAAATGTAATATTCAGAATCAGCGTGCAAAACTGCATCCAACCATATATATTTCGTCCAAAAGTTTTTCCTAGCCAAGATTGACCTGTGGTCCCCCCAGCTATATTTAAAATAAATTTTTCTCCGTGGTTCCCCTCAGGTCAGTCTTGGCTAGGAAAAACTTTTGGACGAAATATATATGGTTGGATGCAGTTTTGCACGCTGATTCTGAATATCACATTTGTTTTGCTTTAGCATTATTTTATGATAAAAAAACCTCTAAAAATATTTGTTTTTTATCGAAAAATCATCAAAAACTATAAAAAGTTAGATAGTGTAAACCCTTTTCGCATCGATGAAAAACTGTTTTTTCAAATATTTTTTTACCATTTTGTAGAGAATAAAAAGCTGCACAACATATATAAAATTCAGCGTGGGGTCTCTTAATACTGAAACACAGCACGAGTTATACTGGTTATTTGCACTGATCAAAAGGACCACCTCTGAACTCATATTCGCTCCATAAAACTTAAATTATTAGCTATTATGTTATATCAACCTAGCTCATTTTATTCAGTTTTCAATTCTCTATCTTCCTATGTATACTACAAAAAATTTCAATGATTTGCTGAAACGTAAGCTAGCACATCTTTTATAGAATATTTTTTCTTATTTTTTCGCAAAAAGACCTGATAGTGCCAAAAGTTGATCTTGGCTAACTTTTCATAGGAAGAGTATTAGAACCTAAAATTTTAGGGTTAGTAGTTTTAGACATTGAAGTTTTGAATGAGCAAAATAAATCGAAAAAAAAACTTTTATCGAGTGCCTCGTATACTCGATGTTCTCATGGACGCTCTCTTAAGTTGGAAACAAGAGCTCATTTCTTTTTTTTTGATTGACGTTTTACTTTTTCTATTGTTGTCCTACAATCTAAATGGAATGTAACCACTTGCTTTGTATGTGTATTTTCCCTTTATCTTAATAAAAGTCTTTGGTTTTTTCCCTTTCTCTTTCTTTCTCAAGTAATCGAAATTTCATCATATAGTAGTCAATATTATTTTCATTTGCGTATTCGACTTTTTCGCGTTCTTCATCATTTTCTTTTCGTGTTTTATTTGTAGTGGGCATTAATAGACACGTGTTACAAACCTACTAAGTCAAAAACAAATCGACAATGGTACCTTCTAACATGACAAATGATCATTATAGTACCATTTGTGATCGATTGTTTGCTCTGAAATCTTGGAAATACGAAGAAAAATCATCATTAGTTCACACGATCGTCAAGTGGACGAGTCTGTATGAAAAATCAATGCCGAACCAACTCGAAACGAATCTTCGACATTTACGTGAACTCCTAACACAACGTCTCATTATTGAACCTATGCTACCAGTAGAAACAATTCTTAGAGTTATTCAGTCTGATGAAATTCCGTCTGATGCATGGTTGGACTGTCTACGTGCTGCAGTTCAATCGGAAATGAATGATTCTAGTAACCCAACTACTATTTCCTTCGACTTTGCACCAGTTATTGTACCGAAAGTCGATTTCCATCGACAAATATCTGATTCAGGTTCAAGCACGCAACGATCTCCGCTGCAAGACCAAAACCAAAGGTATTTCATTCTCTTTTATCGAATTACGTAATTACTTGTAATATTTACTATACATTGTCTAGTGTGTTTGATCAAATTGATATGGACGATATTTATCTCACGCATCAGCTTCTTTCATCTGGAATGTTCTCAAAAACGAGCGTACCGTCATCACCGAACGTTTTATCGCAAAGAGAAGAACCGTTGGATGTCTATCAGATGATTTTGCGTGAAAATCTTGAGGAGTTATCGCAATTGAAATGGGATCAAAGAACGATAGATAATATTCGCAGAAGATTTATAAGCCCAGAAATATCTAATAATATAGCATCATTAAAAACAGCCTTGTTAGTCATCGAAACCATTGTTACAAATGGAATCTCACTGCAAACACACATTGATCGTATTACTAATACAATTACTAAATGTTCGGCTCATCAATGGATGAAGGAATTAAATAAAATTGTCGATGAACAAGGCAAAGCTAAATCGGTTCCTGTACTTCTTGAGGAGTTAAAGCGCGAAAACCCATCATTAAATATCAGTGACTTGGAGGATCAATATGATGAAGTAATGCGCTATTATCATACAGAAGCATCTAAAATGACATCGACAAATTTCCAAGAACAATTAAACTTTAAAAATAAGTTCGCTAAAATTGCCGTCATCATTCAAGCAGCACATCTCTTTAAGCAATATCGTCCGAGAGACATTCAAATTTTATCTCTTCTTCTTCTAATTGGAAACCCTGGTCAGGACAAAGGTCGTTTAGCACAAATACGCACTGGTGAAGGCAAATCCATCATAGTTTCCATGTGTATGTTCTATAAATAAACTTTCACATTTAAATGAATTTAAATAAGATATTTTCAGAAATTTTTCGACTATGTTAAATATATTTTTATTTTAGTGACCGTGTATCTTTCACTGCCTCCGATGAATAAACGCGTTGATATAATTACAACTTCTGAAATTCTTGCTCAACGTGATGCTGCCGAATTCGCACCCTTCTACCGAATGTTCGGTCTTTCAGTTGGACACAATTGCTGTGATCCTGAAACGAAACCAAACTATAGTGTTCATATCGTTTATGGAACAGTCTCGCATTTTGCTGGTGATCTCTTACGAACAGATTTTTATTTAAAAACAGAGATACGAGGAGACCGTCCTTACGACGCAGCTATTGTTGATGAAGTTGACAGTATGTTCATTGATCAACGTCAGCATTATACACAATTAGCATCGTTAACACCAGGATACAAATCTCTAAACATTATATTGAGGTTTATCTATTCTTTTTTTCAAAAATACAATCTTACTGAAAATAATGAATTTGTCATTCGACGAGCCGATGGATACTATAAGGGTAAGTTAGTGTCTTTTTAGTAGAATTCCCGATATTCTAATGAAATTTATTGAGTTTATAGCCGATGCAGTAGAATTCATTCGTCGCAAAATAGCCAATAAAGAGCTTATTCGCTATTCAGCCTATCGTCAAGAATATATAGATAAGAAATTACCTAAATGGATATGGGGCGCAAAACAGGCACTGTATGGTTTAGCACTCAATGTTGATTATGTCATTAGTAATGATGGGCGTATCGTTGTCGTAGATTACGCTAATACAGGGATGTCTCAATTGAATATGCACTGGAGCAACGGTGTGCACCAATTTCTCGAACTGAAACACAATTTACGTATGACACCTGAACGTATGTGTGATTCATTCTTTTCCAATGTTACACTTTTCAAACGATACCAGCCTCATCTATATGGAGTAACAGGAACGCTGGGTGGGAAAGATGCGCGAAATTTCATTCGATCAGTGTACAA